AACTACTTCCAAAAGAATATTTGGCACAGGGTTAAGCAGTTTTGCCACATTTAATACTCAAAATAACCCTATAATGAACATATTATCCACATTTCACAGATAAAGTTAAAAACTTTCCCCCACCCTTGTCCAAACTAAACCTCCTTACACATTAAAGAAAAAAATTATAACTTTTGATTGCAAATGTACTTTACACATAATAGAACAAGTAGTGAAACTGGCACATTCTTACATGTTACTATGTCTTATACACAGCTTTACAAACTGTAAAGTATTACAAACACTTGTACCCTATCATCTGCTTCCCACAATAGCCTTGTTATGAAATTATCATTACTACTATATATGAGGGCTTCAAAGCTTAGAGAGCTTAAGTCACTCAGCTTATGACTCCTTGTTCTTCTTCCACCACATTTTCTTCTCTATGATTAAAGAAACATTGCTACCATATCAGCATTTTGCAGGGAAAGATGAAATGTACTAGAGACCCGAGCTATGCATCTTTCATCAATTACATATTTCTCCAACTAGTTATTAGAATTACTAGCTAACAGGATATCCAGCTAATCACTAACTGATGTCAATCACAGAGACACAAGTTGTATGAATAAGTTTTATTAAGCTAGTACTTTAGCAAGGGAATTACCTAGATTGTATCTATACTGACCAGAAGACCAAATTCAAGTAAGTCTAAAGAGCACAGTTTCTCTTTGGGAAAACAAAGGATGTTTAAATGAGTCTTTCATGATTTCAGTATTGTTTCTAGTAGCTATCATCTGCCCATCTAGTTACTGTATAGCCATTTTTTTCCAAAGTAGTGAAGATGGCTGCTGACACGCAGTGTTACAATTCTATCCACAATATATGTGTACACCAAAGCACATAAAGATATATTTACCAATAACTTAAGAAATCATTTGCAAAATGGTTACTTTGGCTTTGCACTTCCAGCCATTTCATGCTACTCAATAATGAGCAGAACTGTTATACTTTCTTCACCAATTGTTCTACTCTCTTTCATATCTACCTTTTCCCTTTCTACTTTAAAATTTCCTAGTCCACTTGGTGACTTGCCTTCTCATTCCTTTTTAAATGGCCCAATCTTCTCTCTCCTTCATTAGTTTATGCTTTCAAATTTTGTTTATTCAACAAAGCCTGGTCATTCCTAGTTATATGTGATAATGTCCAATGTATGTGGGACCCCTAGCCTCCTCCAAGTCTGTTAAGAGTGCCTCAGTAGTTTCTGAGACTGTGGAGAAATCACATTCACTCTCTTCAATGAGAATAACAGAATTCCTTCACAGAAAGGTTTTAAGAAATAAAATCAAGACAAGATTTTAAAGTGTTTTATAAAGTCCCAAAAATTACCCTGTTGCCACTGTATTTTCTGGTTGGCATTTCCTTCTGGCTAAACACTTTTAAAACTATAGAGAAAGCCCTCAACTGTTCTTCTGTATGGTGAATGGCAAAGGACAGTTAGGGTGGAAGAAACTTAGTTGAGTAATGGATTTATTGTAGGATCAAGTTCAGTTATTCTATGTTCACATCTATCAATGACAAATTTTCTAGAAAGTAAGTAACACACCTGGCTTTTGAAATCTCAAAATGGCTACAAAATCAGAATACCACCACACTTTAAAAAGGAGGGGGGGGGGGTAGTTGTTCTTTGTCTTCACCCCAGAGATAGCCCTCTTTCTTACAGAGCTATAAATCACCATTAAAGGAAAAAAGAAAAAAGAAAAAAAAAAGTATTAACTTCTACTCCCTTTCCATTTTTGGCATTGAGAGCCTGCCAAACAGCTGCATGTCAAGCAAGCCTTCTAACTGACCAAAAACAATTTTTTAAACACATCTTGCCATATTTTGCAATAAAGGTAAAAGGTATTAGAGAGATCCTACTATGCATCTTTCATCAGTTACATATTTCTCCAGTAGTTATTAGAGTTACTAACTGGCAGTGTATTCAACTAATCACTGATTGTTCTTATGTCAACCATAGAAACACAAGTTATGAATAAGTTTTACTAAGCAGGTAGGTTGGCAAGGGAATCCCCTGGATTCTACATGAACTAGTCAGAAGACCAAATCCAAGTCAGTCAAAAGTGCACATTATCTCTTTGGGGAAAAAAAAAGAGGATGTTTAAATGAGTCTTGCTACTAAGTCCCACAATTTAAAAAATATATCTTGTAGTTCAGCATCATCATACTAGTTGACAGTGTTCCAAGTACAAGTAGTTGCCTAATTTTGGAAAAGGTCTAACAATTTCAAGAAAGTTTTTATTTGTGAATATTAAACTTTAATATTAGCCACAATTAAATTTCATTGTGGCTAGGAATGTAGCCCAGTAGTAGAGCATTTGCCTAACCATGTACAAGATCCTGGGTTTGATACCCTGCTGTGGGGAGGTGGGGGAGGGGGGTTGTTACAGCAAAAAACAAAAACTTTATCACAAAGTTACAATACAGTCTCTCTCTCTTTCTCTCTCTCTCACACACACACACACACACACACACACACAAACAATATTCTGAAATACTGCATGCCTATGTGCACTAAACTTAAGGCCAGAATCTTAATTTTTGACCACAGTTTATTTTCCCTGTAACAAATGTCTCTTTACTGTTAGGTAGCTCTTCTCCCCACAAAAGAAAAATTTCACAGAATTTCAAAACACTTTACTAAGTAGATTTAATCACATCTACAGAATCCTATCAACCTGTAAAGTCAATAATGCTTATGTACTGAGATGTTTATTTGCTGTCTAAAGATCCTACATTCCTAAAAGAGTAAACATTTCTCTTAAGAGAAACACAGCATCTTCCTAACTACTAAAGTGACACCTGACTCACCCCAACTCAACTCTTCAACTTTACTTCTCCAGAAAGCAGAGGGGGAAAAAAAGAGTTTATACAACATGATCAAAAAAAGATGAGTCCCTAATAATTCACAACTTGTTTGTTCTTATCTTCAACTCAAATCCTAACAAGTTTATTTGGTTTTTAATGCAGTAATGGGTGTCTCTGAACAAATTAGAAGGTGCAGGGGTTCTTTTAGGCAGTCAATTGATAGGAATGGCTATCAATTTAATTTCTTCCCCCTCTCACCACCACCACAACCAGAAGAAAGACAAAATCTCTAAGTAGCAGTCAAGAGCTTTTAGTAAGTGGTAGGCCCCATTTATCAACAGTCTCCTGAGTCTTCTCTCTTTTCAATAAGCAACACAAAAACAATGTTCATAACCATAACTGAGTCAAAATGTATGCTTCTCCTAAAAAGGCAAGTAGATGAAATACTTTGAAACTATATCTAAAAGAGTTTGGGGTAGTGAGGAGCACATACATCCCCCTCTCCTAGGGCCCAAAAGAACTAAATTAATCCATTCATATTTCAGGCAGCTAATTACTTGAGATATACAACCCGCAGATATAAGGCAAAGCCTCTCCGGAAGTATTTCTTTCTATAAACTATAAACAGTTCAGTCAAGTGCTGTAGTTGGCAAACAATAACTCAATAAGCTTCATTTTCTTTTCTTTTTCATTTAGGAAAATTCTAGTTTGTCATCATCACCTTATATATGTCCAAGGACTACCATGAATGATCAAGTATATTTATTCTAAATAAACTTTTTTATTAAAGTGAATCCTTACCAGACCGGTAGCACAGAAAGCTGGGGCAGGAAGATCGCAAGTTCCAGGCCAAGTTGGGCAAATTGATGGGACCCTGTCTCAAAACTTTAAAATCAAGACAAAGAGGTGTGGAGGGGTCGGGGATAGCCCTCAAAGGTAGAGTGCCCCAGGGTACAATTCTCAATACCACAAAAATAACAAAATAAAGTGAATACCTGTGTTTAATATTTAATTCAAATGTTTTAAATTTCATCCAGTAAAACTTTTATCAGATTGTGAAAAAAAATCAGAAAGCACGTGCTCACATTCAGTATATTTAATATACTCTTACCTTAGCTCGACGTACTTAACTCTAGGCTTTTACTATTTATAAGCCTTTGAGAAACTTTATGCCTTTAAGTAACATCAAAATTCTCAATCAGGATTCCAAACATTTAATTCACACCACAGTGAAAGATCAAATGCTAAACTCCTAAAAATAGGGGTGCTATGAGTGAGAGAAACACACAACACCGTGCTGCCAACGCAACTGCGCCTTCGAGGGGGCAGGGGCGCCTTTACACGTACAGTAGGAGCTCACATTCAGCAAAAACGGGGAACGAAGGATCAGGTGACTTAACACCACACTTTCAGTCTGATCCAAATGACTAGGAACCCTAGGCTCAAAACACCAGTTTGACACCTAAATCTAGACTTGAGACCCTTGCCACGCGCAACTCGCTCAAATGGGTCGGGGACTGAGGGCCCCCCCCCCCCCGCCGCCCCGGAACGCGAGCCCAAGCACAACCCCGGCCTGCATACTGGGTTCACTTCAGAAGTGTGTCGGGAGAGCCTTCCGACCTGGCAGCGAGGTGTCCGCTCTCCTCACGTCCTTCTCCCCGAAGGGGCCCATCACGCCCCGGCCGCCCCTCGTTCTCTGTCCGCGCGAAGCCCAGAGGGCAGAGAGTGCCCTCCAGGTGACGGGTCGCCTCGCCGCGCCCGAGATCGAAGGACTGCGCGGCGGCGCCGCCGACCTCCCCAAGTCCCAGCCCGCAACCCTGGCTCAAGGCCGCCCCCTCGGGCCGGGGCGGACACGGCCGCAGCCACGCGGCTGGCGAGCGGGCAGGGGGCCGGGCCCGGTTCAGACGCGCATGCCGCCAGTTCACCCGACAGCTGCAAGAGCTGCGAGAACCGCACGCCGCTCTCTCAGGCCGCGCGCGGCAGAGCACGGGGCGCGGCTGGGGCTAGGCCCGGCGGGCAGACGCAGCGGCGGGAGGAGAGCGGAGCCAGCCCAGGACTCCGACCCCGCCGCCTGAGGCCGGTGCCCGCAAGCCCGAGCTGCCGGCCGCCTCCTTCTACACGAGCCCTGCGGGCTCTGTCCTGCCGGGCCGTACCTAGGGAGGTCGTGGACGAGACGTGGTTAACCCCGGCGCTAGGGTCGCTGGTCCGCCGCCGGCGCCTCAGCCCCTGGTGCGGCTGCTGCCTTCGCGCTGCCTCGTCCCTCTCCGCCATCTTGTACCGATTTAAAATTAACTCCCCACTGACGTCAAACGCCGCCGCCGCTTTATCAACCTCCCGGGAGCCGGCGGGGCGGCCAGCGGGTCCTAGCGCCGCCCTCAGCCCGCGCCTCCTCGTGCTGCCCCCGCCCCCGTCCCGCCCATCCGCTCCCTCACTCCGCCTCCGCCTCGCAGACGTGCGACGGGGATTTCTCCGCCCAGCGTTTCTGGCAGGAATGGGGGCGCGCCACCGCCCTCCCCGCGGTCTAACACGCCCACCTTTCTGAGCTACCTACCACACCCCCTTAGCTCTGGGCTGGATTGTGTAAACCGATAAGGTATCTCTGAGGACTAAGTTCTTCCTTCCCAATTCAGTTCCCCAATTCTATTTACATCTCTAGTGTTGGTTCGTGCCCTGCACGTGAGGTTGCGTTCACACCCCTTTCCTTCTCGCCTTTCCATTCCCACGACCGCCTCCGCAGCTGTTCCCCTTATCGCCCTCTTCACCCAGCAAATTGTTGCTTGTGCTCTTCTTTTTATCTTTTCGTCACCCGTGCAAGTCCGTACTGTTGTTTCCTCTCCTACCACCATCATACAGTTTGTTTGCACTAGCTTCCCATCTCCCCATTACTTAGGAGATTCTCCTGTCTTCTTAACTGCGCGTACCATAACCTTACCCTCCTGTTCTTGGCACTCTGCAGGGGCAAACCAGAAAGCACTCTGATCAGATAATGAATTGTAGTAGGTCCTTTCTGAACTGTGATGAACCTTCTTGTGGGGATCCAGTGACATCCTATAGAAAGTTCAGGTGACTTTTTGAAATAATTGTCAACCTGTGTTAGCTTCTGCGAAACATGGTCTCTATTCTCTTGGATTTTTACCACATCCTCAGCTTCATTAGAAACTCCTTTTCTCTGGGTAAAAACAGGTGTCCACGTATTCAAATAAATGCCTTGTTCAGGTCTTCTCATAATCTGAAGCTCACAGCCTTTCATCCTGCATGATCTTTAGAAAAACATTGGTATCATAGAAGCTTGCAGGGGACCATTGTAGAGGGACTTTTCTTGGGCTGTTGGGGATTGTTTAGTCATCTGTTTTCTGTCTTTACCACTAAGGGAAGAGATTGAGAGCTCCTTCTGATTCCTGGAGAAGTCTAAGCAGCTACTTGTCTGATGAAGTGTTTTCTTTCATCCATCTCCTATGTGATATTTATTTAATATTGTCCGTTCTGCTTTGTGCAAAGCATCATCTCGGGCATAAGAGAAGATGCAAAGATAATATTTTTACCTTCCATTCACTATTAGCAGTTAACGTAGCACTGAGCATACCCCATCAACGATACTGAGAAAGTTAGGGTGATTCCCAAGGTTGCACTGCTGGCCAGTTGGTCACCTAACTAGTGTCCTCTCTGCTATTAGACACTGTTAGTCTCATAGGTTGCTACTAAGTGCCCCAACAAATTCACAGCTCCTAACTCCAAAAAGCCAAATGCAAGCAGGCAAGAGAATGATCATTGGTCCCACCAACACCTCAAGTTCATGTTTTAAGAGTTTTCTTCCATTTTTCCCACATTAGTCATCTCTCCTCGATTTCTTATCACAGTGAAACCTCAACATTATTCCAGACTTCTCTCCTTTCTTTTTTTTTAAGAGAGAGAGAGAGAGAAAGAGAGAGAAACTTTTTTAATATTTATTTTTTAGTTTTTCAGCGAACACAACATCTTTGTTTGTATGTGGTGCTGAGGATCGAACCCGGGCCGCACGCATGCCAGGCCAGCGCAATACCGATTGAGCCACATCCCCAGCCCTTCTCTCCTTTCTTCTACACCCAAAAGTCCCATGTGAAGTCAATTCTGACTTCTGAATTTCTCCTTTGCTCACCTCCTCTATCCCCTGAATCTCCTTCTTGATTCATCAGCTCCCACTAGACATACTGTAAAAACTGGTTGTCCTCCTTTGGGTCCTCCACACAGCCTCCAGTTTGAGTTTTCTTACATGCAGATTTGATCATGTGGTCTATCTGCTGCAAATTAAATCAAGTTCTTCAGAATAGTTGGCAGCCAATCCCTAAAAAACAAATGCCGAATGTCTTCTCTGATATACGGGGAGTGACTCAAAATAGGATAGGGAGGAAGAGCATGAGAAGAAGACTACCACTAAATAGGGAAGAGAGGTGGGAGGGAAAAAGAGGGAAAAGGGGAGTTGCACAGAAGATGGAAGGAGAACCTCATCATTATACAGAATATATGTATGATGTTGTGATGAGAAAAAGAAAAAAAAGTGTGTCACATTAGATTGGATAGAGAGAAATGATGGGAGGGGAGGGGAGGCGTAGGGGGGATAGGAAGGGCAGCAGAATAGAATAGACATTATGATTGCTGTATGTATATAGGTGACTCTATGACCAATGTGATTCTGCAATCTGTACAATTAGAAAAATGAGAAATTATACCCCAATGATTCAAATGTATGAATTGCCAAGATCATTGCAATATCATGTGTAGCTAAAAAAAAAAAATGAAAAAAAAAGAATAGTTGGCAAAGTCTTTTGATTCAGCCTCTACTATATATTGAGCCTCCTTCTTCACCATTCATTTTTTCATGTGTTAATTTAACAGATAAATCTTGACTCTGTTGTAGGTTCTGAAGAGACAAATAATGAACAAGACAAAATAGGTTTCCTTGGGTTTTGTCTCTTTCCAAACCCCACACAGAGCCCTCCACGATAAGAGAGTAACTCGGAAGCTCAAAGGTCAGTCTTGCTCAGGGTTATCTCCGGTGTCTAGACAATGCCTGGTATATAGTAGAGTCTCAATCAAAACCCGTGGAATGAACAAATGAGTAAATAAATGAATGATTCTACCACTGATTGACCTGATGCTTCTAAACTTCTAAAATCCTCACCTTTTTTTTACAATTAATAGCATTTAAAAAAAATTTTTTTAGTTGTCAGTGTACCTTTATTTTAATTTTATGTGGTGCTAAAAATTGAATCCAGTGCCTCACACATGCTAGACAAGTGCTGTACCACTAAGCTACAACCCCAGCCCAATTAACAGCATTTTTATGGGATCAAATCAAACAATGGATTGAGAGCATTTTCTTAATTGAGAACATTTCTTGACTATAAACAGCTAACATTTATGGAATGTTCACTCTTCCAGGCACCGTTTAAAATACTTTATATATGTTATCATTTAACCTTTATAACAATCCTAAGGGGTAAATTCTATTACTAGTCTCATCTTATAGATAAACAGAGGCATCGGAGATCAAATAACCTGCTTAAGTGGCAGGTGTGGCATTCAAAGACAGGCAATCTGATTACAGAACTTGTGCTCATTCCCACTGTGATAGTGTTTACAAACTATGAGTGTCTGGAGAGCAGAATCCATAGCTTAACCACACCAGGGACTCTGGTGTTCTGCCTTCAGTTAATGTAAATTATAATTTAAATTAATTAATTAATTTTATATATATATATATAAAATCCCATGAGGGGAAAAAATCAGCAGAAGACATCCACAGACAATTCAATGAAAAGTTTTTAAAATTGTCCTTAAACAAATAAAAAATGTTTACTTCCTCTCATAAAAAGAGTATCGCAGACAAAAACAACACTAAGAATCCACTCATCCATTTGGCAAAAACTCAAAAGCTTATGATTACAGTGTGTTGGACAAGGTGTGGGAAAAAGTTATTCTCATACACTGAGAATGCTAAATGATATGTCTCCTATAGAAAGGAATTTGCAATAACCAACAAAGCTATTTTGCTTTTACTTCAACCCACTAATCTCACTTCTGAGCATTTACCCTGTAGATACAATCCAACAGTACCAAAAAATACATTTACACAAGGTTATTCATTGCCACATTATTTGCTGTTGCAAAACATTGCAAACTATGTAAATGTTCAAGCATAAGTGGTTGTTTAAATTATTCTATGATAAATACTCATGATGGACCACTTTGCAGCTGTTATAAAGGGGAAAAAAAGGAAGATCTTTGTGAATTGATATCAAGTAATTTCCATGAAATTTTCTTAAGTGGAAAAAGCAAAAGGGCATATTAGTATGCTACCATTTTTGTGAAGAGAAGAAATAACAAAGTATACATATATCTACTTATCTATACAAAAAGATATAACATACTATTCCAAAGAGGGAAAAAAAGAAAGACAACCAATCTAAGTAATTTGAAAATATACTATTAAATCATAAATATGTCTCACTCTTGTGCAGAATCAGGAGAGAACAGAAAAAAAAAATCAGACCCCTTTTTAGTAGGCTTGTTTTCATAGAGATAACAGGCGAAGTAGTTCTGAACTTATTTTAGATGTACTATGGGATTGAGCAAATTAGTGACTATCTTGATACTGTTAAGAGCCAGTGTTCTCAATAGGGAAGATGGGACATACGGATAATGAAAGAAAAAAGCAAGATGAACACAATGGGATGAATTAAGTTGCAGGTATTGACATGGACTCAAGATTTCTAAAGTAAATAATAGGTATATGAAAGTTTAAATATGTAAATATGTGCATACAGTTGTATATTTGTGTACGCACATGTGTGTATATATGTGTGTACATATATATGAGAAATATATATATATTTCTCAACTCACCTAGGCCTATTAGCAAAGACATCAAAAGTAGCAATGAGCTGGGTACACACTCCTGAAATCCCAATGGCTTGGGAAGCTGAGGCAGGAGGATCATGAGTTCAAAGCCAGCCTCAGCAAAAGTGGGGTTCTAAGCAACTCAGTGAGACCCTGTCTCTAAATAAAATACAAAATAGGGCTGGGGATGTGGCTCAGTGATCGAGTGACCCTGAGTTCAGTCCCCAGCACATTCCCCCAGCAAAAAGTAGCAATTATCACACAGTGCCCAGTCTTGGTCCTTAGTGCCATTTTCTAAAGGAGCCAAGAGTCCTTGGAGAAAGGGCTGATCCCAGAAATGTCTCAGGTTTGGTGTTTCTGTGACAGAATTTAAGCTGTTGCTCAACAATTTAGTAAGATATG